TAAAAACGTAACGTAACGGGACTCATGTAAGGTTAGGTAAACACTAAAGCTCTCATGTCTAACGGTGCCATAAGGCATTTTTTCGCTCTCTAAAAAAACACTAATCTGACACACCCTCACTATTTGAGAGAGCCTTAAGAAATAGACCACATCTAAACTCCAAATACGAATAAAATGGTAACTTTCAAAGTGCAGAGCAGTGTGAAGAGTGAAAATCTACACCAAAACGCTGTTTGTGTTGCGTAGCGTTACATGTACGAGTGTTATAGTAGATATGTGTATCTTTTTTTTAAGTATGGCGATAATGTTCCAGATGATTGGTTGGAGCTGATAGAAGAGTGTTTGGGCCACGAGGTGCAGGTGATCCGCGAGAAGGCGATCCAGGCTCTGCCGCTGGTGTTCGAGCAGTACTTGTCTGACGAGGACTCGCGGCCGCGGCGCGCCGGCCTCATGCAGAAGTACTGCAGCCAGCTCGCCTCCACCAGCGCCAACGGACTGCTGCTCAGGATGGGATATGCTAGAGCTATAGGTAACTGCTACAAGTGTAACATTATCAATACTGATATTAATAAGAGGAGCGATTGTACTTTTGTATGTATTGAAATAACTCAACTGGGTCAATTTAAAATATTCTTTTACTATTTAAAACCTATGTTATCAGTACGCTGACGAAGTCGCGAGCAACAATTAGTCTAGTTACATGTTGTCAGATGTTCTATTTTGATATTTTAACTAAAGCAAGTGAGGCTCTCGGTACTGACAGTTTTAGCTGAACAATTTAGTTATTCTGGTTAAACATTGCATGTGCAGGCAAAAATTTAACTCTACTGATCCAGCTTTAACTAAACAATTCGATTCTTCAGTCTAGTATTCAGGCTTTATTTGCGTATTTTAGGAATGTGAATGATATTTTTGCAGAATATAAAAGAAACGTCAAACGATGGCTTTCTTTTAAAATTAAAAAGTTTTATGTCCATTATGTAGGTGCTTTACCGAAGTTCGTGCTGAGTGAACATCTGCCGCTGGTGATCCGTTCACTGATCGAGTGCACTCGCGTGACGGAGGGCACGCAGAAGTGGGCGGAGTCGCGGCGCGACGCGGTGGTCGGCCTGACGGAGGTGTGTCACACGCTGGGCATCGTTGACGGCGTCGACAAGTACGTGGAGGAGATCTCTGACGCGCTGCTCGCCTGCCTGGCAGAGTACACCATTGACATGCGGGGAGACATCGGCGCCTGGGTGAGAGAAGCTAGTATGACTGGTAAGTAATTTGTGTTGATATTTTCAATTCTACAGGTATATCTGTTTACATTATTTTATTATTGAAACCCTTAAAATTGTTTTTAAACATATCTACCTAATAAAATATGGCGATTCATCGGAGTTCGTCCTGTTTTATATTTAAATGTCCTGCAGCACATTTCGATTGCTTATCGTTCAATTGCAGCAACGGTCACATCGTTATTTTAACGAATTCAGGTAGCTATTTAATGGTTTGCCAACATTTACTACAAAAAAAATATATATTATCTATACATGACCTTCGCAAATAGATGGTCAAGGCTAGTAGGAAAAACATTTTTTTGTAATCCAAATAAAATAATTATCAACAACTAGTCATTATTGAATTATCTATGTTGGTCTCTAGGAATTATAATTTCATTTTTATGCGTATTTTACAATTTTCTGATCTCTGAGGGGGTAGCCTTCCCCTGGCCCACCCCCTTGCAATGTCCATTTGTTAGTTGTAAATGTGTGGAGTGTGTTGCGCGGCGGCAGGTCTGCTGGCGCTGTGCCGGCTGTGCGCGGCGCAGGCGCCGCAGCTGAACAGCGCGCGCGGCGTGGGCGCGGCGGTGCGCGGCGCGGCGCAGCAGGCCGTGGAGAAGATCGACCGCACGCGCGCGCACGCCGGCAGGATATTCACCGCATTTATATACAAGTATGCTTTTATTTTATTCACTTGCGCTTTAAATTGTTTAAACTTACGTGAGACATTATTATATCTTATTATCTTACGGCTGTAAATAATTAGTTACTAGTAGTTTAGTTTACGATCTGTTAATGTAGCATTTATAACATCTGCATAAAGTTTAGTCTATACTATAATGTTCTAAAGAGGAAAGATTTGGATTTTTGTATGTATTCGATTCATATAACAACTACTGGGCCGATTTGAAAAATTCTTTCGCCATTAAAAAAGTAGTTTCTTAGTGAGTAATTTAAGCTATATATATTTTATGATTTATTAATTACACGCAGATGAAGTCGCGAGCAATAGCTAGAGATAGATAAAATGTCTTCGGAATGCGCACTTTAGTAAATCGTAAAGTTATAGTGTTATCAAGTTTTAAGGGCATTTTAATTGTTAACAACATTTCTCACTACATCTTCTATTATTTTGTTGCTTAAACTAATTGAAGGGAAATAATTTTCTACTGTGCGATTTTGTTTTTGAGTATTTTTGAACATCCTTTATATGTTAACTTGCAGTGATCCGATCATCAACAACATCCCTCACCACGAGGCGTTGAAGCGGATCTTCCCGTACGACGAGGTGGAGCTGCGCGGGAGCGGAGGCGGGTGTAGCGGGGAGGGTGTGGGGGAGGGGGGGGAGCCAGTCAGCGAGAACTCCAACGTGGTGCTGTGGCTGTTCCCGGGGCACACGATGCCGCGCTTCGTGCAGCTGCTGCAGTACCCCGAGTATAGGTACAGCGTGCTCAAAGGACTCGTCGTCAGTGCGGGGGAACTCACTGAGAGTCTGGTGAGTCGTACTGTAGGTTATATTACGCGAAAAAATTGACATCTGCAATTTATTTTACCACCACTGACAACTATACTTTTATTAACTAGGAAAATTGATTGATAATTCTTTTTTATAACCTGTAAATTTAATATACTAGCTTTCGCCCGGGACTCCGTCCGCGTGGAATTAAAAAGACAATCCTCTACGTCTATACCACATTTAAAAGTAATCCGTTCAGTCGTTTAGACTAAAACTCTCACAAACATCCATCCATCTGAACTTTTGCATTTATAATATTAGTAAGATTAACTGTACTCAAAAGTAAATAATTAGTCACTAACGGAGAACCTTAGTGTATATTTTTCGATATTTTTTTTTGTTTTCCATTAAGCTAGATCACTAAAGACTTTCGAGTGCAGATGTTAGAATTAAGATATTTTAAATAATTTAAAATTTATAAAAATCGGTCTACAGTCCTGTATTTTTGTCAATAATAATTATTAAAATAACAATATATTTTTTTATATAATACGTTTTATTTAATTTTTTATATATATAAAAATCATGTAAAATATATTATATGTAAAAATAAGTAATTAAAGATATATGGGAAATTAAAATAATGTGATATTTGTAGGTGAAACACACGACACAGTCTTTGTACTCGTACCTGCACACGCTGCACGAGGACATGGCGACGCTGCGCAGCGTGTGCGACACCATCGTGCAGGTGTTCGCCGACAACCTGCACGTGAAGCGTATCACCGGGCCCATGTTCAACTTCCTCGACAGGCTGCTCAGCTCGGGTGTGTAACTGACATTATATAATACGACTACCTTCAAGACACACGATTAACTAACAACGTATAATTGGATCTTTGTCTTTTTAATTTAGTCGTGTTATATAACCGTTTTTGTATAATACGGCTACATTGAAGTGTCCCAATTTCCCCAAGCAACGTATCTTGATTGGTTGTCTTTTTTATTTATTTGTATTATACATAGCTTGTTTGATTTACCGTAGGTGCGATATCCCCGATACTAGAGGATCCAGAATCGACGTTCGCAGCAGATATATTGAAATACTTACAACTGGAGTTGCGTGGAGGGAAAAATATCTACAAGCTGTTGGACTCTATAAATGTTTTGTGCCAATTGATACAGGTGTGTATACTATTCTGACTATACCGACAAGGATATCTCACATGGTAAGCGTAAGCTAAACTAAATTGTAGCTCGCTAGCGCCTCCTTGTCAATATTATATGCGTTACAAGATCTTTGTTGTACTGTATTGTTGTTTTTATGTTGTTTTCTATAGCTTTACTTATATTGTAATCAGATATCCTTGTTTGACATCATTGTATTGAATTTTTTTAACTGTAAGTTTATTATGTTCTCTAAAACCTGGATCGATTTTATATTAAATAGTGAGGCGCTAGTGAATGTGTTAGATTTTTATGTTTGTATTTTTTTTTCTTTATATTGAACTAGTTTTCGCGCGACTCCGTCCGCGTGAAATTAAAAAAGACAAAACTAAGTAGCCTATGTGTTTTTCCAGACTGTCCTCTACATCTATGCCAAATTTCATTAAGTTACATTCAGTAGTTTAGCCTACAAACTCTAACAAAAATCCATCCATCTATAATTTCACATTTATAATATTTGTATGATTTGTAGCGAGTATATTAACGTTTGTCAGGTTGGCGGCGCTGTGTGCAGCAAGGCGCTGGGCCAGCTGGTGATCTACCTGTGCTACGCGGACCGCTACGTGCGCCGCTGCGCCGCCGCGCGCCTGTACGAGGCGCTCACCCTCTACGGCGACACCTGCACTGCGCCGCAGCACAACCTCGACCAGGTAACACCGCACCGCTAGTGAGGCAGTGTAACACACGTGTAAGGCATGTGTAAGAGGCGTGTAGGATACGTGCAAGTCAAATGTAAGACTATAAGACAGTAAACTGCGTGCTACACAAGTGTAAGATACATATAAGACAAAACAGACAAGACACATGTAAACTGCTTAACCTCGACCAGGTAACATCGCACCGCTAGTGAGGCAGTGTAACACACGTATAAGTCATGAGTAAGACACGTGTAAGTCATATGTAAGACAGTACACCGCGTGTTACACAAGTGTAAGATACATATAAGACACAAGCCACATGTAAGCTGCTTATAACCCACATGTAAGCCACGGTGAGTAAGTTCGGAAAATATTGTTCATGTCGTAGAAAAAAAAGACGCTAGGTATGTAATGTTTTAAGTGATTTTGTATGGAAAAATGATTGAGAATGTATGCCTTGATAGTGTTTTAGAGAAAGCGAAGATTGTATGAAGTTACAAAATATAACCATAAGGCCTGTTCCGTTATTCATCATGAGATGTTTATTGTAAAAAAAAATACCAATAGAATTAAGAAGCCGGTTAAAAATGATTTAGTGTCGTGATGCATTTTTTTTAATATGTCTAGGTGATGAGTATCCTAGCCGAAACAGATTGGGAAAGGGATGTGGCGGAACTGAGGCCTATAAGGAATGATATTTGCGACCTGATGGACATCAAGAGGCCGGTCCTCAAGCAAAAGGCGCCTTAAACACTACAGTATTAAGGACTGGATTTGCTTACAGCACAATAATGTGCGCTTCGCTTTAACACGAAATGCAACCGCAGAATTAACACGGAGTTAGCATTTATGCTTTAATTTTGTTTGACTGAAATTATTTGATTTATTTATGTTTGTATTTACAAAATAACGATTGATAGTTATTGTATGCGAACTACACAATTTTAACGGCACTTAGCAATGAAATAAACATGTAACTTTTTTACTTATTTTATTGTTTTTTTTCCTTATCCTATTTAACAATTGTACATACTTAAATTATCTTCAAAATCAGATACACAATTTACTGTCCCGATTTTTATGCCTCTCATTCACAATACCAATAAGACAATTTTACCCAAGAATTTGTAGTTGCAAAGGATCTTGCGGTGCTTGTGCAATTAAATTCGCCCAAAAGGTACCGTAGTTCTTCAAGACAGTACCCCTGTAAGGTAAAAAAAAACTTGTGTAAAATACGATTTTTTTGAACCTACTATTTTCTAAGATTAACACTCTGAGAGAAACCGTTAAAATACCACTATTTTGTAGGTCCGCGAGTTATTTCAAAATATACCTAAAACAATTGTACCATAATATATTTTTTTTCTAGAAATTTCCACATTAAACGACGCTTCGCGATAGATACTGTATACAATTAGCGTCATGCCTAAGGTCGTTTAGTATGAAGTACATATGAGCAATTACATGTCAAGTTTCACAACTCCAAACGAAGTGAAAGGAGAGTAACGTGAGGGTATCGGTTAACGAACCCATTAGATATAGACTAAAATTTATGGACGAAATAATCATGGTGGTCGGTTTTATATTGCAAAGTAATGCAATTTATTATTGAATCTTTGAATTCATTTATTTTCGTGATGGCTTTTACATCTTTACTAGATGCTGAGACTATATTAGACTGGTAAATCTATGAGCGGGAGAACACCTTTGACTAAACTATCGCACAATGCGATTGTCGATTGTTTTCACCAATTCAACTGTTTACTTGCACAGCTAAAAATGGACTAGTGTACGCACCATATATGGTAAGCTAATAGGAATCAAAGCGCGACTAAACAGTTGTGCTATATTTTAGTCAAAGGTGTGCACTCTTACCGATATTAAAAATATAAAGAATTCAAACATACGTGAAGTAAACTCCTCCTTGTGAGTTAGAAGGTGCTTTCCATGCGAGCACAGCTCTAGTCTTATCACGCGGGTCTGCGTGTGTCACGGCCGCGCACTCCGGGTGTATGGTGGTGTTGGGCGCCTGCTCCCACGAGCCCAGCCACTCGTTGCTCTCGATAGAGCGAGCTTGTATGAAGAATCCTTTAAACGGTTCTGCTCCCTCTATTGTTACTGAAACATTTGTTGTGAACAATAACACATGATACCTGAGTCTTGAAAGAAAAAGGTATTTTAGTAAAACTATTTCTACGTGGAATAATTTGATTATCCATTTATCTATCACTTTTACTTACTAATATTATAAATAAGAAAATTTAGATGGATTGATGGATGTCTATTAGAGTTTGACGTCTAAAAAATTTTGCATAGATGTAGAGCAAATTCTGGGAGAGAACACATACACTACTTCGTTGTTTTTTATTTCACGCACACAAAGTTGGGGGCGAAAGCAAGTCAGTCTATAACTAGAACTTTCGATTTAAAAGATCTATAACACTAGATATATTTTTAAAGTGTTGAGCAGTAAATGGATAACGTAATAGGGGGTATAAGTCGTCTGACCTACAATGCCATCGGAGGAACTTGCTCAATCGAACTTGGACAGGTTATTTGCGCGTGCTCACAACTTGTAACTATACTATCTACTCACTACGTCTCTGATTTTATCAATGAATTCGAATGTATTGTATTCTTTACGGACAGTGAACATCTATTAGGCAATTTAAAGTCGGATTCCACTGCTGTAACTACTTGACAGGGACATATCTTTTCTTCAGAGTTATGACTATGTTAAAAGTTGTGTAAAACTACTCTTACAATTACAAAAGCAACACAATTCACACTTTAATATCTCTGGTTTAAGGAAAATTTGAGAATTTCCTTTTGGCGCGACATGGCTCACCTTATCCACATACATACAATGTAAAAGAAAAAAATTTGCAATACCTAAATTTTAATGGAATATGACTAACTTTTATTTAATTGTTGCAAAATAAAAGTGTAAAGTGGTATTAAAATTTTGCAAGAAATGAGATGTTTTCAATTGGTTCAGAAATTGTACCGATATTTTGGATCTCAACAATAAAATTATACACTCTTTATGCATTATGTTAAGCATGTTTCTCAAAAACAGTCAGGTAATTATTATTTCGTAAAATAATTTGCAAGATAATTCCCACATTACGTCAAAATATTTTCGAATACGTCGTCATAAACTGTACACTTGTAGTAGTGTAATTAACTTAGAATTTATGATAAATAAAATATATTTAACGAAAATTAAAATTTCATACCGTTATACTTCTAGGATGCGACCCGATTTCCAAATATAATCTTCCATCACTTTAATCAATATATTTTATTTATAAATAAGGCAAAAATATACTGCTATTAAATAGTTTTAATTAGTCTTGGGTAGTACACGTACGATGTACTAAAAAGTAATGTTACTCGGCACTGTACTAAAAGTAACGTTACCGAACGGCT